TTCTGACATTCATTTACATTTTTAGTTAATTGCGACTTTCCTGTCCTTGACTTCAATATATTCTGTAGGTGTCACATTTTTTGGGCCTTCTTAATTAATTCTCTTATGTACATGCAGACTCCTGCCCTCATCTCTTGTTATTACAACATTTCAGCCATTTTGCCCTCGGGCCTTCATCAGGTGTATGTTGAACCGGGTAACCTAGAGAGAATTTTGAACTGAACTCTTTATTTGAGATGGGAGTAGATTATTCTCACTCCATTGCCCATATCTAGGATGGAGACCAAGTACTCTATCCAGCCCAGGAATTGAACTCTCAATTAATGTCACCAAATTCATGAACCAACACTAGACTTTTGTTCTGTATAAAAAAAACTGGGAAATTTATATCCATAGAGAGGAGGGGACAACAGTAAAAATGTGACTATTACAACAAAGGTGAGAACAATAGCCCACATTCAAATAGTGTAAATAAAAAAAAAAAAAAAAAAAAAAAACTCTTCATCCCAAACTTTAGATAGAAATTCTCCATTTTGTTTTGATTTTCTGTAAATCCTCATTACTCATGTGCTTTGTCTAAGAATTTGTTGTAGAGTAGTTTCACAATGGAGGCTTGTATTTCACTAAGTCGGTCCTAAAAAGGTTCGACGTACAATAACATTAGGAACTTGTTATAATAGTTAATGACGCAGCAATCTAGTTGGAGTGGTTGATACTTTAATGTTTGACATCGACTGACTCATCAACTCACTGAGCCCCCTGGCGACTACTACTACTTATTATATGTGGAAGAGTCTATTAACAATAGAATAGATATGTTCCAATATAACCGAATTATTCTGTAGAGCCACATTTCTGTCAATTCAAGTTTTCTCTTCACCTTTGCGGAAATTATCCTGTCCAGTATTCATTGCCGTTTGAAAGAATTGATATTACACCATAGTTGAACAGTCTTTTATTCGTTTTCTAATGAAATTTTCCTGTCTCTTAATACTTTTAGTTTCTGTAAGGCATCTTTTGCTATTCCAATGTCTCTTCAGATTTCAGTGTCACATTTTCCCTCATCTGTTAAAACGCGTCCCAGATATTTACAGATTTGTACTTGTCTACAAGAACAATTGCGACTAAAATATACTGAATTTAAATAAAAAAACATTGGGCATATGTTACCAGCTATATCCTGGTAATATCTCATGTAGTTACTAATGACATTGATGCACTCATCCCATTAGTACATGAGGGTATAAATGCCTCTCAAAAGATATATATATATATATATATATATATATATATATATATATATATATATATACACACATACACACACACACTGGTACCTCAACTAATTGGCTAATAGGGGGGACTATGAAGCACTTTTTTTTTTTTTTTGGCCTAAAACACCCAGTACAGTACAAAATTATTGTAAATAAATGTAAATACAGTATATTTTATTAAGTTATTATATACCTTTTAAATAAAGTTTGAAAAGTTTTAAAAGATAAATTTGGAATCTATTGATTCTGGAACCACTAATTCAAGGTATATATATTTTAAAAAAAAATAAATATATATATATATATATATATGCATTTACAAATTGAAAAAAAAATTTTTGTGTATCCCATTGCAGCTGGGAAATAGATCTGTTGTGTTTTTAATGTTTTAGTGAGTTTTTAACAATTCTATTTCAACTTTTAATTGACCCAATGTGTGTGAATAGCATCCTCCACCTTTCAGAGGGTGTGTGTTTGTGTGAGGGTAAGGAATAGACAAACAGAGCTACTGTCCCAGACTCTGTGGTAGAGTTGAGTAAATTATTGACTGCTATATGAGAATGATCCTAAAAATGTCAGATGTAAAAGGTGAAATATATACTGTTATTCATGAAAAAGTTTATAAAATGATTTTTTGAATTTAGTATCAGCCAGCATTGTTCTGATATATATATATATATATATATATAAATTTTCTCTCTCTCTGCATATATATTGATGCCAACTCTCTAAATATATCACTACTAATAGCAATTTCACATAACCTGACAGTCACACAATATTCAAACCCCTGGTTCTGCTTGTGACAGTTCAAATCTTATGTTTTCTTTTGCTATAAATGCGAAACAGCTGTGGAATTCTGTCTTCGTTTCAACAGCCATAAAAAAAACACAACATAGACAACAACAATTTTCCTGTCGCTGCACACTTCAACCAACTGTTTCATAGCATTTATGACATTAGATGTGTGCTTTTAGCGTCTAGAACAGCAGCTGACAAGACAGACGTAGATCAGAACTGAAATATATTTTTGAAATAAAATCACACATTGAGGGACTAAACAAGGATTTGGGTTTACTTTGAAAATATAATTTCCACAGGGAGCCCTCTAACCAGTAACAACATTCCTTGGAAGAGTGAATCCAACTTTTTTGTTTATTCTTAGTTTCATTGAAAAAGGACACAGGTATGTCCAGAAATTCTGATTTTAAAAATCTTTATCTTTGCTTCAATTTATTAAAAATTAGATAATAAATATTGCCAATGCTAATATTGTTTTCATTTCGTTTTTTTTTTAATCCTCAAATTTTATTTACCAGCCAATTAAATCTGCATACATACACATACATTTGGATAATAATCTAGTACCCATGAAAATTTAAAGTTTCTCTATTTATTTGAATTTATGATGAATCCTAATTCTTAATTTAATGATTAAATAAGCTCCTTGTGAGTTTCATGACTATAAAATACCCATGAAAATTCCGCTATTGATTCATTAAATATTTGAGGTTAGTAACTTTAAGAACATATTGCATCATGAAAGTTCACCAATATATTACTCTACAAGAGCAGACCAGCATTACTCTTTCTGTGCAAAAGAATGTAAATGTGTAGCCAGACTAAAGAGCCTCATTTGCAATGTCCATGCGTGAAGATAAATCAAGTGATGACATTACTCTAAATCACATTGCAGTCACCAGACATGATGGATTCTCCTGTCGATTTTGACATATGAGGATCTGGCAACCTCATTCAGTTTTTATTCTTGCATTGTATGTGACACTGGTCCCACTAGTGACTTGAATACAAGTCCACATATTGTGCTAATATATATTTATTTATTTATTAATAAATATACATAATACCTCATGCCAACAGTAGGACTGTAGTTTCATGCACTATGCAATTATGATAGCTCTGTTATTTTGCATTGAGTACTGTTTTATTTATACCAAAGGATAGATATATATATATATATATATATATATATATATATATATATATATATATATATATATTATTAGTGTTGGTTCCTTTCAATGTTTATTTCTTTTTTTCTACTTAAATTACATGTTTTTTTTTTTTTTTTTTTTTTTTTTTTTTTTTTTTGGGGTGGGAGTTTAAAATAAAAACAAAGAAACTCAAAACCTCAATAATATCAATTATCAACATAGCTTTGTACATGTGGACAATATTAAAAATTAAAAAATCCCCATTCCTATATCAAAAAATTTTTTTTTTTCCTAATTTAAGCATTTTCAGTAAATAAATCTTCATAATGTTCAATAGATTAACTGAAAACACTCCAACCCACAGATCATTTAGACAGTTTTTATATACTGTCCAAAAAAGAAAGTTACTTGTATGAATTCAGGAAAAATTTAATAAATTGCTTGATTGCAGTGCCTTGTCAGTTATATATAATATTGTTTTTCTCACACCAGTAGCACAACTGAGTTTCATACATGATGCAATCAACATCAACCAATTTGAAAACTGACGATTGCATAATTTAAATATTGATTCATTTATAACATACATAATGATATTTGACAAGTTCATTTATTTACAAGGCTCTGTTATTATACAACAAGCACTACCTTATTAACCCTCATAATGTGCAATAAATATATATATATATATATATATAAAGTGACCTTTCTTAACCGGATATAAGAGAGTTTTTAATTAATGCAGTGTGTTTATCTGGGTTTGGTCTATTTTATATACAATAACACAGGCTCTAATTTGGGACCAGAGAAAATTTTTTCTTGAAAAATAATTAACCATTATCAAAGATTCAGTCTTTTTGTTTATATATATATATATATATATATATATATATATATATATATACACACACACAATATATATATATATATATATATATATAGTGTGTATATATATATATATATAAAAAACAAAAATCTCCTTTGATAATGGTTTTTTAATTGGTGCCTAGATCCACAAAACATTTACAGTTTTTACCCCCTGTTCAGAAAACACTTGTACAAGAAAAATATGATAAAAAGCTTAATTGGGGTGTATTGTCATTCGCCTTCAATACAACCTGTATACAATAGAGATTTTAATTCTATGTATGATTTGTTTTATATATTTATAAGTAAAAGTGCTCAATACCAGAGAAAAAATATAAATGTTTATTACTTTTCTCTAATTCTGGCAATACTCTGTTTCATTTTGAACTCAATCTTTTTTATATATATATATATATATATATATATATATATAAATATCAAATGGAAAAAGATTATTTGTTATTTTTTCATCCATTGGGATTTAATCAGACTGTGCTTTCTTGGCATTGTCAAGTCTATACATGCACATGAAATGAGAAATGCAGGTAGTTTTGAAATTTTTTGAAAGAAAAATATTGAAACTACCTGCGTTTCTTGTTTTGTGCACATGTGTAGACCTGGCAACATCAACAAAGATGAAACGTGTCACAAATAAACTTTTATAGTTTGTCATATTTTTCTAAATACCGTTTGTTTATATATAAAATACAAAATTATATATAATATGTATTGCATAAATGTTTAGTTGATCCATATTGGGTGTATTTCCTTGAGGTTATTTAGCAATCTCATGTATTGACTCCAGTTATGGCACGCATGGCTGTTCAAGTGATTTACCAGATTGGCTTGAAATCTGTCTTCTGATAAGACAACAGTGGGACTGAATACAAGAAAGTTTGGGTTCATGCTCTTTCCCAAAAACTGCCTTGTCAGTTCCATTGAGCATTTTGCACTCTGGTTAAACCTATAATCGCTAGTTTATTAGCAACCATTAATATGGAACAAGGGATTGACTTGTTGTACTTTACTGCTTATGCTGTTGATAACAGTAAAATAATCCAATTAGGATTTATTTATTTCAATTTGCTGGTCATTGTTGTGTGAAATTAACATCATATTTGTTGATATTTTAATTATTTGTTTCTTTGAATGAAATATTCACATTGTTATCCTTTTGGATGGCATGTATCCCCCTCCCCCCGAAAAACAAAAAAAATAAAACGAACAAATGCTATATTGACTATTCTTAGAATTTAGAATTAGGATAGTCTACTGCATCAAATAGTTTACATTTCTCTTTTCTTTTTTTGCCACTGATGTCCATTCAGGACACAAGCAGTCATGGCTCTCCACTGAATACTTTTTTTTTTTTTTTTTTTTGTCGTCGTCTGTCAAGTGCTATTAATTTTTATAATCCTTCATTTTTTTTTGGAATTTTGTTTTTTTATCCAAGACTGCTACTCAAGGCTAGAGAAACCAGTCTGCCCTGGTATCTAACTCATAGTTTGTGTGAGGTTATAGATGGATTTGTCTTTCCCAAGAGTATTAGTTCAAAAGTAAATGCAACAGTGAGCCAGAAATTGAACTTTTGCTTGCCAATTCCACAGACAGTTTTTTTTTTTTTTTTTTGTGTGTGTGTGTGTCTGATATGGGAAGTCTGTTTTCGTTATATAAATTCTTTGACCTACAAATCATTAAATTTTTTTAAATACAATGTCAGTCATATCTTCTGCCTTCTTAATTCTTGTCTTTTTATTGTTCTCTCTCACTCTCCTCATTTTCTTTTCTTTTTTCCCTTCTTTTCTTTTTTCCCTTCTTTTCTTTTTTTTATTTTTTTCTTTTTTTCCTTTTCATTTTTTTTTCTTTTTCTTTTTTTAAATTCTTTTTCTTTTTTTTCCATTCTTTTCTTTTTTCCATTCTTTTTTTTTTTTTTTTCATTCTTTTCTTTTTTTACTTTTTTTTCTTCTTTTTCTTTTTCCTTTGGGATCTCAAAATTTTCCTTTTCTTTTTCAAACAGAAAAAAATTTTTTCCTTTTCTTTTTCCTTTTCTTTTTTTCCTTTTTCTTTTTTCCTTTTCAAAACCTTTTCTTTTCTTTTTTTCCTTTTACTTTTTTTGGTTTTTTTTCCTTTTCTTTTTTCCTTTTGTCATTGATCCTTTTCATTCTCCTCTTCTTTTTCTTTAGTAACTTTTTTTCTTCTTTCTTAAAATTTTGTTATCCTCTTCTTTCTTTTTTTTTTTTCCTTTCTTTCTTTTTTTTTTTTTCTCTTCTTTCTCTTTTCTTTATCCTATGTAAAACCTTTTTTCTACCTCTTCTTTCTCCCTTTTTCTTTCTCCTTTTTCTTTTTTTAACATCTTTTTTTCCTCTTCTTTTTTCCCTTCTTTTCTTCAAATTTATTTCTCCTCCAGAATTTTCCTTTCTCATCTTCTTTTTAATTCTTCCTTTTCTTTTCCCTTCTCCTTTTTTTTTCGGTTCTAGGCCTCAAATTTGAACTTTTTATCCTTCTCCTTTCTTCTTTTTCTTTCTCCTCTTCTAATTCCATAGGGGAAAATTTTCTTCTCTTTTTTTTGAAATTTTTTAATTTTTTCTAGTCTTCTTTTCCCACTCTCCTTTTTTTTTTTCTTTAATGTGAATGAAACATAACATCACAGTGTTTGAATTCTGCAAGCCTAATTCTCTCTCTGCACCAATATCCATTACTCTTTTCGTGCCTCCAACTAGTGTTATGTAAAAACAGATATTTTATATAATGTCATATATATATATATATATATATATATACACATGGGTTGGTGTAGAAGTAAAAGGCAGTCAGTAATATGATGCAATTCAAAACATCTTTATATAACAGTTAATTGAATTTTTTTCTGTTCAAAATAACTTTGAAGGTCATATAAGATGTGAAAAACCAAAAAAAGTCATTAAGTGCATTGAAGCAAATGGTCAGCTGTTTGAATTAATGTTGGAACTGAAGTTTTTTTTTTTTTTTTTTATTTCTAAAGAACATAAAAAAAAAAAACAAATTATTTTCCATGTGGATTGATGGTTGTGTTGTATAGTCAAATATGGTTTTATTAACTTTGGTAAGTCGTTTATTTAATTTTTTAAAACAAATGTTTACTTCCTATTGTGTTATCAACTGCTCTGTTACTTCTGCTCTTCTCGGTGGCGGTGTGTGAAAAGTTTTTGGCATAACCAAAATATTCTTCCCTCCTAAAACAGATTTTATTATTAAAAGAACATGCGTTATAACAATTATTTCTCTTGTGAAGGGGAACACAGGTTCAAATCCAGCCGGAGAGTGCATATTTTTCTTTAATGAGATTTCTTAAATATTCAGGCTGGTAGACAAAAATTGATAAATACTGTTATAATAAATAAACTGAGCGTCTACTCAAATATGGGTATCCACTAAAATAATGTTTAAAGTGATAAAATCTGTTGGAATACAAATTTATCGCTATGTTAGAAATATATAGTTTTAATGCTATGTTATAATGGGTAAAAGTGCTCAATATCAAATAATGTATATGACTATAAAAGTGGATACCAAGTTGAATACCAAGTGGTGATGGTCTCTTTTATGCTTGAATGCAATCTTCAGTTCCAGATGACTTGAAGATTACATTCTATATATTTATATATTTCAAACATTTTTTTTTCACTAGCTTAAAAGCTGACCTATCAGGTGGCATTTAAGCTAGCTCTCTAACTCTTGTGGAGGGCTCTTGATTTGACCTTCATCACAATAGGTAGGTAGGGAGTATGTCCGATGGGCAACAATAAACTACAGAATAACTCAACTGATTGCTGCTTTTAAGTATTGCATTAATATTTAAGCTTACCTTTTAAAAGTTCAACAATATTTCTTCTGCTTCCATTTAATTTATAGACAAATTGATGTAAATAGGTCCTTAATTTCTGTACAAACAATTATTTTTATTTCATGAGTCACTTTCGCTGGATTTTGCAGTTAATTTCAATTATTCTCAAATTTATTTCCAAGACATAAAAATTGTTATCATACAAAAAAATTTGTTCCGAAAAATCACGTAAAAAAGAAAAATAACTAAAAACAAACGCAGTAATGAAAACTTCAGAATCTGAAATTCAGAATTGCAGGTCCAAATCCGACCTGGAATGTTTTTTATTTGCTCACACAGCCTGATTCCAAAATGGTATGAGATGTTGGGCTACAGCCTCTAGGGGTAAAGTTGAAAATACAGACAATTTTATTTTGAAACACTTTAATTTGAGAACAGTAATTTTTAATTTGAAATGAGCTATTGAAAGTTAGAGTTGTTTCCCTTTTAAGTTGAAAAATTGTGACACACTGACATTCACATTTATTATATAGATTAGCCTATATTTTTGAAATTCTTGATTGTTTATTTTAAAAAAAATTTTTGATTATTACTGGCCATAGGTGAAAATTTAAATTCAAATATGCCCTCTGGCAGGATTTTTATCTGTATCCCTCTCTGCAAGAGGAACAACCAGATTAAAAAAATAAAATCTGTTAATTCTTTAGAAATGGCAGTCTTTGATTCCAGGTACTGTTGTCCTCTAAAGATCTGAATGTCACAGTATTGAAACAATAATAATCTTCAATCACATCAGATGGTCAGGACCCATTGTTAAATAACAGGATTTTTTTTTTTTTTCACTTTAATACAGAGACATGGTGAACTACATGCCAGAGGTCCCCAAACAACCCTCTGCAGGTTTTGAATTCAAAGTTGTCCTTCTCCTAGACTAGTTGCCATCCAAGGCTATAGAAAACAATCTGTTTACCCATAGCTGGAGGAGAAGTGGAAAGGAAAACCATTTTCTTCTGAGGAGGCACAGTGGAAGAATGTTTAGCAGCTTGATTAAAAGGTAATTGATAAAATAAAGTTTGAATTCCAGTCAAATCCATTACATTCAAAAATGCACTAAAATTGGGAAAGGAATGAAATATATTATGATAAAATTAAGAAGCAACTGGCTAAAGTTGAGAAAGATTTTTGTTCAAGTGATTTTGACCATCCGTAATCATTCTCAAGAACATGAATGTTATCAATTACAATAGAGAAGCTTTTATTTATATTATCTTCAGATTATTATTTATTTATTTATTTTTTTTTTTTTAGAAATGTTAATTTTATGAATACAAGCTGTGCATTTTTTTTTTTTTTTTTTTTTTTTTTTTTTTTTTAGAACATTTTGTAACTCTATGTAAAAGATATACATCTAATTTAAAAAAAAATAAAATAGCTGTTAGCTGCTGTCAAGTTAGGCTACGCCTAAGGACAATCATATTTAATTTTTAAAAACCAAAACATTTTAAAATGCCTATCCTTTGTTAAAAAATATCTTTAAATATCTTATTTTTTTAATTTTGTTTATTCATGTTGTGTCATCATCCCACCCCAAAATGGATGTGGCAAATATTGCCACTGTGGAACTCTAAAACATTAAGGAGAGGACAAAAAAAAGAACATGAATTAAAAAGCAAAGATAATGTTTTATCATTTATTTAAACATTTGAAGAACAAAATTTTATAAAAATATAGAATCCATTTTCTCTGAGAAGATTCCAAATAAAAGAAGTGCAAGAAAAGAAACTGTTAGCATAGAACTTATGGTTACATCTTTCCTCTTTGGTACCTAGTCTTCATGAATTTAAGTGCAGTACTAGATTAGTGGCAAGGTCTTATCAATTTCCTGTTGAAATGGCTAGGTGTAACCGTAAGTTCTATGCTAAGAGCTTCTTCTCTTGCACTTCTCATTTGTGGAACACTCTTCGGGCTTCTTGCTTTTCAACCAACTTTGCATTTTTCCTTTTTTCGTCCATCAATGGCAATCATTAATTTCCCAGATATGTTTAGAAAAGCCTTGTTTAATGTCAAACACTGACTATTTGTAAAGGATTTTTAGATACAATCCAACCATACATGCATATTGTCCTCAGGCACATTTTTATAAATTTAAAATAAATATATTATTCAATTTTGGTGTTAACAAAACAGGGCTCAATGTGGTTGACATAGCTATGAAATATATTTAATCAAGTTTATTACATCAAAAATAAAACTTTTTTACTTTGTCTATGTTCATGTTTTTTTACTATCATCACAAAAAAAAATAAAATGTAAAATGTTTTTAAAAATAACCTATAAAAAATATAAATATATATATAAACAAATCAATGAAATTTTACATATATATAATATTATAACATTTTTATATATATATAATAATATTAATTATATATAAAATTAAAAAAAATATTATAAATATAATATATTTATATATATTTTAATTTATAAATATATAATATATATATATAATATATATATATATATATATATAATATAAATTTATAAATAATATATATAATATATATATATATATATATAATATATATATAAAATTTATATGTTAAATATATCCTGTTTTTATTTATATAAATTATTATTTATATAAAATATATATGGCATATTTATATACATATAATCTATATATATATATATATATACATTATATATATATGCATATATATAGATATATATATATATATATATATATATATATATATATATATATATATATATATATATATATATTGAAAAGACAATGGATTAAAAAACAAAAGCTAAAATAAATGAAAACAACCATGTTTCATCCCAGGACTTAAAAAGTTTATTTATTCTGAAAATTTAATTTTTAATTAATGAATGTAATCGAATGGGGGGAATTATGAATTTCAAGAAACTAGAAAATAATATTCAGACCCAGCAAGCATTCCTCTGTTTACAAAGGGAAAAAATGATGTCTGATATAATATCTAAAGGTTTTAGTTTTAATAATATTGTGTATCAGCAGATCAATGGGGTAGCATTTTACACCAATGGGTCCAGTTGGCAAATATTTTTGTAAATTTTTCATTTCAAGAATTTTATTTACTTGTATTGGTCGTCCTCTTATGTATCATCGTTATTGGATGATACCTTCTGCCTCTTTAATAATGAGGCTGAAGCATAAATTTCTCACCAAATTAAACTCTGTCCATCCTGCTCTTAAGTTCACCGTGAGAAAAGGAGTCCAATTCTTGTCTTTCCTTTTTTGATGTTCTTGTCCCGTTTATAATTTAAAAAAGTATTTAGGTAGGCTCAAGCCCGGGGAAAGTATCAAGGCCAATTTTTTTTGTCCCTTTATATGCGTTGGGACTCTTTTTGTCCCAGACAACGTAAGATTAATTTGATTTTTCCTTAATTCACAGGGCACTTAAGTTATGTTCTGATGGGTCTTCTCTGTGAAATTGACTTTGTTAGAATGACACTATCAAAAAAATACTATCCTTTGGATGTTTTAGACTCCGTTATTCAAGACGTCATCAATTAAATTCATAGGGTTGAAAAATAAATTAGCTGATAAATGCCCAGTTTATTTGGCGTCTTCTCTATATTGGTAGAGAAATAGAGTTTATCTCCCCATATTTCATTTTTA